ATACCATATCATTCTGCCACTCTACAGAACCATGTTCAGATGAAAAATATTGTGTCAATATTTCTTGTTGACGTTTGGCTGCTGCTGTACTGTTAGGGTGTCTTGGAAGTTGTACAGGTTCCATTGAATGTTGGCCCCTCCACTGACCTTCAACAACTAAATGTGTGGAAGCGTATTCTGTATTGCATCTTAGCATATTGTGCAATGCTGCACATGCAAACACTAAAGGCTCCACATTTTCTGGTCTAATTTTGATTGTTGTTCGGAAAACTCCAAATCGATTTGAAAAAATTCCAAAAGTATTTTCAGACACCCGTCTAGCCCTTGAAAGGCGGTAATTGAATACTCTTTGTTCTTTTGTAAGCTGCCTCAGGGGATACGGCTTCATAATATCTTCTCGTAATGGAAATGCCTCATCTGCAACAATCATGTAAGGCACATCTACATTAGTACCAGGCAGTGGACTTGCATTTGGCACTCCAATTGCTTTGTTTTTAAGTCCCTTGTCTAATGAACATTTAGAGAAAACTCCACCATCAGACACTCGTCCATTGGTACCAAAATCAACATATAAAAATTTATATGAGGAATCAACCAGAGCCATAAGTACCATACTAAAGGAATTCTTATAATTAAAGTATTCTGATCCTGAATTTGGTGGTGGTTGAAGATTGACATGCTTGCCATCCAACGCTCCCAAACAATTTGGGAAGTTCCATTTCATTTGAAAGGAGTTGGCAATGTCGTGCCACTCTTTCGTTGTTGATGGTGTCTGCAAAATACAATACAAATCACAACAAATTATGACCAATTTAATTTATTTTTGTAATACATACTATATCCAGAAAATCTCACTACATGTGAATCTGAAAAAGGAATCTTTCTAGAAAGATTAAATAACAAATTAGGGAGTTTTGTGTATAATCAATACAACAAGATCTGTTATACATAAAACAAAGAACTAGAACACTTAAACACATCATATGGGAGGAAGTATAACAGGAAGATAACATTGTCATTTTTGTTTTTGCAGGTTTTAGATGAATGTGATGAGATTTCAGAAGATCCTGTAGAAATTCTACAATCCATTACACAAACTGAATGTGAAACGCCAAGTCCAGAAGTTCCTGAACTAGCAAACAGGCCGACGCCTAAAGCATCCAAACAAAAAAAAAAGAAATTGAAAATGAAGAACTTCAATTAATGAAAAAATTGTCATCAGCTTTTAAAGAGCACGATGATAATGCTGTTGTTGATAAAACTGATGAAGATTTCGTGTTTGGCAGATATATTGAAAGTGAAATGAAATTAATCAAAAATAAAAAAACCAAAGCAATACTGAAAAACAAAATCCAAAATGAGATTTTTCAAGCCAAAATAGAGGATTTGAATTAAATCTTCCAAATCACATCAATAACAGGCAGTAAATAATATGCATATACAGTACCCATAACTAGGCTGGTGATTAAAAATTATACATTAAATTGTAATAAATTTTTTCTGATTGTTTATTTGGCAGGCAATACATCTAATAATAATAATAATTTAATAATAAAATAATTTATTAAATTCCATCTATAACAAACTGAGCCTAACTAACGAGATGGTGTAGTCACATTCAAATGAACAGTTGTGTCTATTTTATGATGAATTGTGTCTGTATTAGTAGTTTTTGGGCTTAATGCTTAATAAAGTATCTAAAAATTACTCATTTGTTTCTATCTCACCTTCAAGTACTCTTCTTTTAAAACTGAGTGTATAGCATGACAGGTGTCTGGGACCAATCTCACCAATAGTTGTGGCACCTACCCGATACTGATAAGACAAACTCTTGTAAGTTTCACCTGAAAGTAACAATAATTATAATATTTATTATATGTCAGGAGAGTACAGATTGCGAATCAAGGACGATTGGTAAAGATATAGGAGTGGATTCAGCATCCGTAAATGATTTATCATTTAATGTTTATAAACGGGATACAGTAATGAATATTATAAAATATACAATAAATATAAGTATAAATTTAAATATTTAAATGGTATTAAATATAAGTACTGTAATATATTACACATGTTTACACACCTGTTGCCATGTATCTCAGTGTGATTGCCAGCCTTTCACCTGGGAATATGCATTCCTGCCAACTTGTGTTGTTTCGCTTAATAATTGGCGTCACACGCTTTAGCAAGTTATCGAAGGTATTGGTGTCCATTCTCAGGAAATTTCTGTAGGA